AAAATACATGGATCTGCTTCCAACTGTGTCTAAATACTCTAAATCCATGAGATGTGGCAAAATTACGAAACCTATAATTCCAGTTTCTGGATGATTGCGTGAGTCCATAAAGTCCTTTCTTCAAGTGGCAAACACGCTCTGATCCATCTTCATATTCTTTGGGTTGTTGCATATATATATCTTCCTCCAGTGGAAGGCTCTTTAGGAAGGCCGTCTTCACATCAAACTGTACTAGTTCCATATTGTATTTACCTACTACAGCTAACATTGCTCTGACCGACTCGTAACGTACAGGCGAAAAAGTTTCAAAATAGTCTATGCCTTGAGTTTGACTAAATCCTCGAGCAACCAGCCTTGCCTTGTAACGCTCGATTGTACCATCAGATTGTAACTTTGATTTAAAAATCCATCGACCAAATCCATATGAAACTACAGGCTGTCCATCTGGTAGAGGTTTAATTTTCCACGTTTTATTCTTGAGTAAGGATGACATTTTATTATTCATAGCTTGCTTCCAAGACTCGGAGTCCTCTCTTGAAATTGCATCTTCATAATAGATTGGATCCAACGATACTTTCATCGCAGCAATATGAGCTGACTTGTCCATCCTATTCCGCAGCACTCGATCTGACGCGGGTACTGGTTTCTGATAAGATCGGGACCCTGGAGGTCGTCCTCTCTTCTTCTGTGGTTCCGGTGAATTTTCAATTATTTCTCCTTCGTCTGAATAAAATTCATCACTGGAATCATCAATAGCTTCTGTACTATCTTTAATTTGTGATTCTTCATCAAGCAACTCTTCAAAATCCTCTTGCTCTTCAGATGATAACGGAAAAAGAACTTGTTCAGTCGTATTCGTTACATCTTCTATTGTAACATCTGCGACTCTTTCCACAATCTTCTTCTCAGGATCAAAAACCCGACACATCTTGTCAGTGTAACTGTTCCATAGGATTCAGCACAATTTAATAACGAATTATTCTTGCACTGTCTTTTCGTATTTATTGTTTGGTATCACACATAAATTCTTTATTTCGCATTACATTGAAAATGTTCGCATTAATATGCCGCAAAGTGTTACGACGAGTATCGTTCGTATTGTCACGACGCACTATATCACGACGAGTATCGTTCGTTCGCATAAAATTCGATTCACTGATATCGACGACGCCTAGGAGCTAATGCCCTGAGTCGATCAATGAAGATGTTTTTAAGGGTTGTTGCCCAAATATTTAAGTTTGGTACGGAACTCGCGACGACGCCTAGAGAGAATATCTCTTGAGTCGCGATCGGTTCGAATGACACGACTACGTGGAGAGAAAAATGATTCTAAAGCGTATTATACAACGGTCGCGAGCTGATTAAACGACGGGTACCGGTGTAACAATCACGACGCGATGGTAGGGATCGCACCCCCATCCGAAAACAGATCCTAATTGGTCGTTCGCGGATCACGCTGCTAGGAAGCACGAATGTACGAGAAACCCCTTCGCGACAGTCTGGCGCCGTGAAACCCGTTTTTCTTTGTTGTTGCCGATGACTAATACTTGTTAGTCTATAATTACATGTGTGCCTTGTGTCAAATGCCGCCGTACCAAATATACCGCTTATCGTCATGCATGACCTAACAGCCTTGATACGCAACAGTAACGATCATATCCAACAAATATCTTCTTCGCCTTGAGATCCATTTTATGTCTCATTGAATCAGGAATGCGAACAAAAGCCCTTGCTCCAAAGATCCTTAAATGAGTTACACTAGGCTTCTTTCTATACCGTTCACTATATGGAGTTGTAGTCGTAACTCCTCGATTTGGTATTCGATTACGAAGATATGCTGCTGTTCCAACAGCTTCGGTCCATAACAAATGACGGTCTGTTTTTGAAAGATCAGTATTAAATAGTATTGACCGAGCAGTATCACATAGTGTACGGTTCTCTCGTTCAGCCATACTGTTACACTGCTTCACATTGGGTGGCACCCAGTTGGATACGGCTCAATTGGACACGAGCCACTCACAGTGCTTGAGACTACAAAGCTCCTAAGCACCGCTCGTTGTGATTGGTGGTGTCCAATCGAGCCGTGGTTAATCGGGATCACCCCCTTCACATTGGGCGGTGATTGCTCATGTGTAATATTCATCTCCCGAAGAACTTCCTTCACCTTATCATTTATGTATTCCGTTCCGTTGTCAGTCCTCAATGAAATTGCTTTTCTTCCTGTTTCTTTTTCTGCATCTTGAAAAAATATCTTCAAAATACTTATACATCTTCTTTTGATTTCATAAAGAAAACTCTGCGATAACCAGATGCTTCATCTTTCAAGGTCAAAAAGTACTTACATTTATTCCACTATGTGACTCCAACATGACAAACATCAGAATGAAAACGTTGACCTGGTAGACATTCACGCCTTTCTCGAGTAGGATGTGAACTAATCGTCTGTCTTCCAAAGTGACAGGAATCACAGTCGTCTCTTTTCTTCAAAATTACTTCAAGCCCATCAGCAAGATCATTTTTCACCATTGCTCGTATTATGTTGTCACTAATATGACCGAGACGCTGATGCCATAATTCAATTGATCGAGCAGTCTTCGCAGAAGCTGGTGGTGGTACGACACGAATGAACAGTTTATATTGATTATTAATTTTTCTTCCGCCAAGTATTGTCTTCTGTCCATCCATTATCCGCATAATTCCATTTCCATGATAGAATCCATAGCCCCTGGTCCTCTCCATGAATGTTGTTGAAAATAGTGATTCACTACCCATATTTTCGCAGTAGTATACTAATTTCCACATTCGTTTCTCCCACTTAATACCATTAATTGATTTCTCAATCTGTATATCACCTACGAGTAGCTTCTAATGTTTTACCATCGGCAGTGTTCAATACAAGTGGCACATTCATCTTATTAAGTGAGGAAAACCATTCGATATTACCTGTGAGATGAACGCTGGCACCAGAATCTGCGATAATAGATCCTTCATTCTTTGACTTATAAACGGTCGATGCAGACAATTCTTTTACAGCTTCCACATCTTTTGACTCTTTCTTTTCTTTTTGCGAACTGGATGCTTCAGATTTCTCCGATTTTTCTGACTTCTCTGATCTTAACCTGCAATCTCTTCAGAGTCCTATTTTACTGCAATTATGACACTTGCCTCTAAATTTCTTACCAAAGGATTTTATTGCCTGATCACTCGTTGATTTAGATTGCGACTTAAACGCTTCATCTAATATATTATTTGAACGTTCTTCAAAGTCCTTTCAACATTGACAAGTTTCTCTAAAAAGAGTTCCAGAGAGATTTCATCCGATAAAATGGACCAACTCGTAACAAAACTGTCGAAGCTTTTTGGTAGACATCCTAAAATCTTTGTCATAATAAGTTTTTCGTTAAATCTATTTCCAAAATCTTCTGACTCTAAGGCTTCAATCTTACGTGCAATAACTTTTAGCCCTGCTATGAATGCACCAACCGTATCATTTGACTTCCACGAATAATTAAAGAACTCACGTAATAATTCTAACAGTGCATTTAACGTTTTCGATTCATAAAAAGCTTTGATCCTTTTCATAATGTCTGCTGACGTTTCACAGTCGCATACCTGGTCAAAAGTTGTGTCGTCTAGAGTTGATCGTATAACTGACCGTGCCTTGCTGTCCTTTATTTTCCAGTCATCAATTTCCTTCATATTGGTAATCACGCCAGCCTCATTTTTTACTTCACTCGGCTTTACGGTTTTCCCGGTGATTTCCCAAATTTGATAACTCTTAAGAACATCGCGGACTTCAATCTTCCAGCGACTATACGTTGTTTTTGTGAGCTTAGTAACTCGAATATCTCTCAGCAAGCTTTCAGCTGCCATTCTTACTTTTCGTTACAACTTCCGTCTCTCTAACCTCGCGATCTCGGTAACAATAACACGTGTCTCCGGTCGTTTATTAACAGCGTCTAAGTCTCATAATCTGTTCGATGGAAGGATTGAGATGAACGATGAGACGTACAGAAATGTGTATAATGAGAGTATTTTAATGTGCACTGAGATTATACAAAAGATATATAGGTTAATAAAATAAAAGTAAGACACGTAAAAAGCAAGCAAGTGAGCCAGTCTCGGGACGTAAAGTAGTGCCCAAGGACAGCATCTATACAGTGACGGCACAATTATAATATGGATAATGTCGAGAACACAAGTTTCCAACATATATTATCATTCACAGCAATAACCTCATTATTATCTTTTAATATAGAAGCATTTGTAATACGAGGGTCGTCTGAAAAGTTTTGAGCCTAACATTGAAACAAGTAATTTTTCGGTCAAATTCAATTTTATTTTTCCACATAGTCTCCTTTTAAGTCGATACATTTTTTCCAGCGATGCTCCCACCCCTTTAATCCATTCAAATAATACTGAGCATCTTGTTTTGCAAATAGGCGTCTACGGATGCGATGACCTCCTCGTTCGATGAAAATTTCTGTCCTCCGAGCCA